TTATTTATTTATAACTTAAGAATCGAAAATAAATTGAAAAAATGTTCGACTCGGGCAGGACTTGAACCGGCATCGTCAGCTTTTCGTGCTGTTGCTCTACCAATTGAGCTACCGAGTCCTACACCTCATCGTCGAATTTTTTCAACATATTGATACATGCACCTCTCGCGCAGTGTAATTACAATTCTTAAATTATATAGTGCCTTCATGTGCAATAACATGTGAAAAATATTAGTATTTATAATTTCCGCGTAGTTGCGCTTAGTCGCGTAGGTATCTTGAACCGCACTGGCTGGTAGGCATCCAAAACCCATGAAGATGAATAATTTTTCCCATTTTTTTTTACTTGCCTCAATATCTTTGCTCCTACTAGTCGCAATCTGGTATTTTATAACCTAGAACCTCCTTCGATAAATGCTCTAACCAATACTAAACTAAAACTTTACAATTCAAACCAGTAGTTCTTGAGATTAGTGCGTTCAAACAAACAAACAAACGAACAAATGTTCAGCTTTAAATATATGTATAGATTACATTTCGCGTTTTAAACCGTAAGTGTTTTATTTAAAAAAAAAAAAAAAAAAAAAAAAAAAAAAAAAAAAAAAAAAAAAAAAAAAAAAAAAAAAAAAAAAAAAAAAAAAAAAAAAAAAAAAAGGGGGGGGGGGGGGGGGGGGGGGGGGGGGGGGGGGGCCCCCCCCCCCCCCCCCGGCCAAAAAAAAACCAAAACGTCGGGCCGAAGTTAAAAATCATTTTCAAATAAGTTAACAATTTCGCGTTTTAAACTGTGTTTACGTAACAAAGTTATCTATGAAAATGGTAATACACTAAAATAATGTCGCAACGATAAATTCAGTTCCAACTTGCCTATACTCAAATCCTTACAAACACCTTAAAACCTCCACAGAATTTGGATCAGCTTCGTTGGAAAGTCGGATCCAATATATTTCTTTTACGCTAAGAGAAAACCAAACAGCATTCAAGGCATACTACTTGCAAAGGGCGACCGAAAACTTGGATTCACAAATTGTCTTTACAGCGATGACAGAATTCAAAAGATCATTGTAAAGGTGCGGAATTTTTCAATTATAGCGGAAAATATTATACTATTTTTATATTGTACTAAATTACTAACTTGTATTCTTGGTTATCAATATTATGATGAATATTTTACTTATGTTTAATCTATACTAATATATAAAGCTGAAGGGTTTGTTTGATTATATGTTTGAACGCGCTAATTTCAGAAACTACTGCTTCGAATTGAAAAAATATCTTTGTATTGGTAAAAACATTTATTGAAGAAGGCTATAGGCTATACTGATAGGACCGAAGGAACAGCGGGAAATGTGGAAAAAACCGGGAAAATTATTTATCCTTGTGGGTTTCCATTGCGTACTCCGCAAAAACAGTTCAAGATACCAAAAAAATATTTATACAAGAACAATTCCTCGTTAAATTATCTAAAATAGCCCACGATAATATATATGTCTATTTTGTAAGATTAACTTGCAAGAACGACGTGACTCGGAGATCTTGGGTAACAGTTGTTGAACAGGAGGTTTGCAAAAACAAAAATTGATATCCAAAATAACTATTCTACGCGTACAAAGTCGCTGACACAGCTAGTGTAATATATGAATAAATAATAAGAGATAAATATTCTTCTAAAAGTATCGTGTGTTCGAATGCACTTAGATCTGCGCCGAACATTCTTTATACGTCTTTGTTTCAGCTTATTTTCAACTGCAAGGAAGTGGATTTTATAAAATGATTTCTTTGAAGTTTTCACGTAGCTCTAAGTTAGATTTTACACTCTTTTCTTTTAGTTAGGGTATGCTTTGACATAAACTTACATAACAATATGCTTCCAAGTTATGACATTTGCGTTTTATTTATTTATATATGTTTTTGTCAGGTAAGGCGCAATTTGGCGCCATTATTTTTTACAATTGACTGTAATGTAATGTGCAGTGGTTACAATTACTCCTAAAAAAAACTATAAGGTCATTCAAATATTCGTTCCTTTTTTGAATTCACTTTCCGATCTTCTTACAAATATTATTATTATAGTTTCGGTTGTACAAGACACAAATTTGATAGACCCAAACAAATCCAATTTTTAATTGAAGGGTTAAAAAAGTTATTTGTAGCTAATTAAATTTGTAGAATCAAAAGTCTTTACAATGAAACTATAACAATATTAGAAGACTGTGCTAGAAAAGTAGTCAGGCTGTACGTTGTCACGTTTCACGATACAAATATATTTGTTTATTTAGCAAAATATAACATTAAGTGATTTCATATATTCGTGTACACTGTACGCATGACATCAAATTATATTTCAAGAAATATCTTCAAATATATAAGAAGGGCTTTGAACAAGGGATCAAACAGATTGTCTCAAGTTTCGGTGACGTTTGTTACGCCTCAGGACTCTTTCAGACTAATGAACTTACTCTTCGTAATGAACTGAGCGGAAAAATAATTTTATGTCAAATGTTAATAATATATAAAGATGCTTCAAGATAAAACACAAGAGTTAGGAGAATTGGAATATGTAATCTAGGCGATTACAATACGTTTAAATACTAGACTTTTAATAATAATATTTTTATTTTTTAATGATAGACAAGCATGCTTAATAGGCCAAGCGTGTGTTGTAACCATAGGAAATACATTTTTCATATTCGTATGTTGTCCGGTTAGTTTGAAATGTCTTAGGCCGTCAAACGTAAAATCTATCTATTTATATTAGGAAACTAATTCTTATAGACTAAAAACTTTCTTATACAAACCTAAATATATGTATATACTCAGGAACTACCTAATTAAGCTACTGAAAAGATTGTAAAATATAAATTTAAAAAGAAATGCTTCACGGTGAGAAACAATATACAATACAAAAAACAGTTTTTTTTAAATTCAATATGTGTGACAAAATCACTTGTTTAAAGCAGGTGTTTTAAATATGTTGAAAATGATTTTCTGGGTCTACGTTCGTGTAAATAAAACAGCCTTTAACGGTTTAAATAAGTTTAACTAATATATCGCGTTTTAAACCGTTAAAGTGTTTTATTTAAATGTGTACTATGCGTACTATAGACAATGTCTACCTGTTACCTATTAATATTAGTCTTGTCTGTCAGTAAAGTTTAGTGTAAAGTAAAAGGCAGTAAAGTTTTTGTGAAAGGGTTCCATATTCACCCGTAGGCCACGGAACCCAAAAGTACACCTAGGAGAAAATATTTCACCAAAATTTAAAGCGTGGTTTGCAATCGGTGCTTTTAAAAAGTGTTAAATCCAGCGCCTGCCGGAACTGAACTGAAACTTTGGAACTTGTAAATTTTTGATGAACTGCAGAAAAGTTTTCGTAACTGAATTTTCATCACCGAATTTCGGAACGGTGTTGGGAGACGCATATTTTTCCGTAGCTATATTTGTATCTACGATCTGTACAATTAAATCACTAATTATTTAATGTAATTCAAAATACATCATAATGTATAGTGAAGTTTTGTTAGACTTGTTGGTGTAATATATATGGCTAATAATCAACGAGTGATGGCTTTCCGGATGACCAAAGCCGAAATAGGTAGGCAACACATCTCGTATGAACTCTAAAATCAAAAATCATTTATTTATGTAGGTAGCTTAGCACACTTATGAACGTCAACAGTTTAAAATTTAAAACTTACTATTTATAGTTTCTACCAGTTCCCAAATAAAGGGCGTAGAACGAACGAGAAGACTTGTCAAGTAACTCGCCGCTACTCCTTTTATTGTCGTTTTTGTTACAATCCTTTCCCTTGTTAGAGAGGGTTCCTCCACACTCCAAACATTGTTATCATTTGAATATTCATTTACGTTATAATATGCCATTTAATGCATTATTTCCAAGGAGTTTTTGTTTCTCTTATGTCATAAATAGTTCAGATTGTCTCATTTTAATTAACATAATTTAGTCTTAAAGGTGATAAATTGTAACAGAATTAATCTTTAGTCTAATAATAATTATTGAAGACGTCTGAATCTAGGGCGTAACCAATTAGTGCTTACTTCGAGAACCGTCGCCAGTTTCCTGTCAGAATTGTTGTCAATTCCCGATTCAAAATCAATATTTCACTCACTATTTCTATTCAAATAAATAATTATGTGTTAATAAGGAAATCGACGAACCAAGTTATAAAGACTTACTCCGCCGGTGTAAAGACCCAAAATAAAAAGACTTTCATTTAAAAGATTTCTGTGTTGTTTTTAAATATATCAATGATCTATTTAGTTGTCGATTGAAAACGCTTTATTAAATATAACAAAATAATCAAACTTCGATCTGCAAAAGTTATTTGTGATTTGCATGATTAATATTATTGTATTGAACAACTCTAATTTACTAAATTTATTACCACAAATTGTTCTTTTTTTAAGTATAATCTTAAAGGGTAAAATTTAAAGGGAAATCATACCTTTTCAGATTCTTTAGAACGAAGCCCTTATAGTATAATATTTTCACATTTTTCCATTCCACTGTTCCTTTGCTCCTTTAGGTCTAGTGTAATGTTATAGTTTTTTTAAATGTTATAACCTTCTTTGAAGTCTATACAAACAAAATTTTTTTTGTATCCATGAGTTTTTGAGATCAGCGCATCAAGAAAAAGCTCTAGATCTAGCGAAATTATTTCATTTGTTAATATCTCAAAATTTTGTCATTTAGTAGTTAAACAGCTTGGCATTTAAATAAAACACTTTAAATGGTCTAAAACGCGATAAATATTATTTAAACTTTAGAACTTATCTTAAGCCCGTATTTCCAAGCTTTGAAATGTTTTAAGCGTAAAAGTGTCTTATTTAAATGTATACTATTCGCGTAGACTACATTCTACTGAGAGTATTTAAATATAGAACATTTAAAATAACACCATTTAGAACTACTGAAATAGAACAATTTTAATGGTTTCAAACGCAAAGTATATTAACTTAATCTCTCCTTAAATTTGAATACCATGGAGTATGTAATTTTTGATGTGGTTTTCTTCATTCTCCACATCACTTGTCCACACGTCATATACGGAACGTCAGCGCGCGCCGAAACCATCAGAGGCCGTGGAATAATCACATCGGTCATATGCCAATTGCGCGCCATCGGGAGCAATTTATTCCGGATCCCCCAAGGCACGTATATTTCGCCTCTTTCTGATAATGTGAGGAATATCGGGGCTGAAAATGTTCGCCGCTAAATGCCACGAACATTAATAACAGATGCATACGTTAAGATTGTTAGATAATGGACATATATAACGGGTACATTACCTTTAAGTATCGTCTGCACTTAACACATAATAAGTACTTTATTGTAATTAAACAATTAACTGTTTAAAACGCGAAATATATTAGTTAACTTATTTTTAATATGACTACGGTCTGGCGTTTCAAATTGCTTCAAATCAAACTACAGGAATCTGCTACTAATAAAGAGGTAGAGAATCAATAATAAGCAATATTTTATTGTGTAAAGAGAGTCTTAATAATTAATTTCATCATTAATTTCTAATATTTATCTAATAATGACATGAGGCTACTAGAGGCAGAGTGGCCTAATTACAAAAAACATGATTTACAAAAAGGAGGAAAATAAATACCATCCTTGAACGTGAATTTGTACTATTATTGGCGAAATAATTGTGTTCACAATTTCGGTTATTGTGCTCTTATAGACAAGGATAGCCTAAAATATAAATAACTCAAGTCATTTTGCAGTTAGGCTACTTCCTTAACCTCACATTAATTGGACATCATTTTTTTATTTATTTAAGTTTTTATCTTTGCCCACCCTGACAGAAACATTTCTTGTCTTCCCAGGTTTAGAACTTAATACTTAACGCACTGCCCTGTTACTCTTTTAATCATTGATCTACGAGTGCGGTCAACTTTAATGAGATATGAAAGTCCTATAATCTGCATCCGAAGAATAAAATTCTTACTGTAATCAAATAGGTACCTCGACGGTTTTAAATCACTTTGAATTATTATTCCAAGATTAAAAACTGGATATGAAAGCGGAGATTTCATCAGAGATCCAATATCTGAAGGCAACTGAAATGAAATCGAATCGTAAAACTATTCGTTTTAATGGAAGCCCGGTATTGTCTTTGCTATTATAAAGAGTTGTGAATGGTGGAAATAAACTAGAGTTAGCATAGAGTATTTGAATCTTAGAATAGTATAGTTCTCGCAAAAAGATATTATATATATTATATGAGGATATTGAATATTTTAATGTTATATACGAACGAAAATAAAAAAAAAACTTATTTAAATAAAACACTTTAAATGCTTAAAACGCGATATATTAGTTAAACTTATTTGAAAATGATTTTTAACTTTATAAACCGTTAAAGTGTTTTATTTAAATGTGTATTACCCGCGTAAACTAACGACAGTATTTAAAAAAAACTAATTTCTAAGAACTTTCGTTAGCTGCCTAAAATAAATGGTCTATCTAACACAAAAATAAGTTTTCCATTCAAACCAGTAGTTCCTGAGATTAGTACGTTTAAATAAAGAAACATACTGTTAAACCTTATAATATTATTATACATTCCGTTGACCCAGAAATACACTTTATAAGTATAGACAAATCAAAGCATAACCTTAAAAATAATATTAAAGTAAACTGGCTCTTGGGTTCAGTTTGGCAAAGTCAAAAATTTGCATGGGATGATATCTTTAAATTGTTATGTAAAGAACTTTGACTCGATGAGGGTAGGTGGACCTTTTTATGACAAAGAGTTAAAATTCCGTGACACCCGTACTTCGGCCGGATTAAAGGTAACGCGGCGGTAAAAGTTCGTCTTTATTGTTAAAACATTCCAACCTTGAACCTTTTTAGTCTAAGAGTCAAGTGAGTTTTTTTTTTTTTAATAATCTATACTAATATTATAAAGCAGAAGAGCTTGTTTATCGGTATATATCGGTGTATCGGTGACCGGTAAAAATCGAATACTCCCATTTATCGAGAAAAACCTTAAGGCTACATCACGCTGCTAATAATGTTTTTTGTTTAAAAAAAAAACGTTTTTGATTTACTAGTAGGGCTATAATAACTAATATATGTATTATACACGTTTATAGTAAGCGCAAAAGTGAAATTCCATTTTCCTTCGTGGAGCATGGGGCGAACATACTTCTGTGTCCGTTTCACTATTGGGTTTCATTTATAGGTAGTTGATCAGACTTCGGTGACCTTCGTAACCGAAACAATCTATTGTTTTCGCGGTGTTTGTACCCTCCCACTCGTAACGCAATACAATAAATATAAGCATTTGCTACAGTGACGGTTAGGTAGTGGGTAGGTTTTTTCGTAAAACTACCCTCCTGTCTTTTGTTATAGTAGAACCTCCTATAACACTCGATATTTCGGTTAGCATATACAATGTACATAAAGTAAATCTTTTAAGCTCGTTCCCCTTTAGTGCCGGTTTAATTAAATTTCAAGAGTCAAGAAGCGTCAAACGGTTCGTTATCTCTCGTGCTATTTTATACGCCGTGTTGTCATTGTGGTCAAAACACTAGCGGTAATGGGGTTAATGGCCAAGGTAAATACTTGAGTGCACTACGAGCAGGCAGCTATTTTCTGTTAAAATATTACCCTTTCAGGATTACACGTAAGCGGTAAGTCGCAAATGCGGTCGAGCGCTGTTAGCACTTAATGCAATGTCGACGAATACTCGACAATGTCGTGGGAAGGGGTCTAGTTCTTTTAGGCTCAGCTCACACTGACACGCGACGCGACCTTTTAATCACTGAGATCTAAGTTCTTAGTGGCGGTGATTCCTACACCGAGCGATTGCCCGGACACTTTTAACGGTTTAAAACGCGAAACGTATTACATTATTTCAACGTCGGCCTGATGTAGTTTAGAAAATGTGAACTACTTACGATAACTAGACTTTTATAACAATTTACCTTTTTTCGTATTTACTAAATCTAAATTTGCTTAAAAAAGATGTCGAATGAATGTGTTATAAGGATACAAAATATCCCCTTATTCAGACTATTATTACAATAATTCGAAATTGCCTCGCTGCATCATGATGTACATATCAAGCTGTTTAGCGTGAAGTATTTATTTGTTTTTAATTTTGTTGTCTATTCAATTATTATATCCGTTGACTGCACAACGCAAAACTACTGGCCTCTACTATTGTCTTCGCGTCTCATTGTGTGTTGACCTTTATAGGGGGTAAAAATATTTAGATAGCTTACGCTAACAAAACAATATCAAGTGTTTTATGTAAATTACGCGAGTAGTACTTATTTTAATACACTATAGACGGTTTAAAACGAGAAATATATTAGTTTAATTATTTACGATTTATTTCTATGTTTTTTTGTAGTATTTCGTATTAAAACATACCTATTTAAACTATCTGAAACAGATGTTTCGAAGATCGAAGTTTCTTATAATAATTGAGGCAATTAAAAAATAGTATTTTACATATTTTAGTATTGAAGTTGATTTATGTATTTTTAAATAAAAAGCAAGCATTTCACAATGATGACAAATTTATTAAAGTAACGTGTTAACTAATTTAGTATAAAACATTTTGTCTAAAAATATTTACTTCTCTAGATTAATGTCGATCTTTTTTAGTAAAATATAATAAACATTTTAAATAAAATAGTTTAAAACAATAGTATTTGAATATACAATGACCTCCTAAATACATTAAAGACTATTTTAATGTAGAATCTTTTTATGTTTTTTATCTTTTTTTTTAGATCTATTACTTATTCATTAACAATATTTCTTGTTCAGTATGCATTCATTAAATTCAAAGAATAGGGGACCAATTTTGTATTCATTAAACTCAGAATGTTGATGATAAGTTATATTTAAAGATATACTTAGAAGTTTTAGCTTGGCTTATGGTACCCGATTTCCAGTAAACGTGTCCACATTCGTAAGACCACAATGAAGTTAATATTAACGCCAGCGATCGTCACGTACCTTACCGGGATTATTGTAAATTATATTAAGATTCGCGACGTGTTTTAGAATTATCCATTACCCGACTGATTCAAATTTATGCGATAATCCCCGGAGACCCAAGTCTTACATGATAATGGGGTATTGGAATTCTCTCTCGTTCCGCTAATGGCGGAGTTTTTAAATGATTAGAATCGAGATGTATCTCGCGGTACTCTCAAAAATCAAATGAAATTATACATTTGTAACACAATTCTAAGAACCTTCTTTTTACATAAGAAAGGAGGTATTAACCGGCTCGTTGGCTTCTAAATAACAAAGTCATAGGTTCGATAACCACCGGTTCTAACGTGTTTCTAATCAATGTAATCTTTCTGAGGCATTCGGGAATTCGTCTAGGAATCTGGATTAATTGGGCATAAAGTTAATTTGAAATAAAAAGCAGGCAATGATAGACAAGTTCATTAAAGTAAGTAACCTGTTAACTAATGTATTATTATTAAATTGAACAGGGCACGTACCACCATAGACATATCCAAAGCCAAAATGGTAGCAGCGTATGTGGCTTAGTTGTTAGATGACTGTGGTATTTCATTTACTATCAAATGAACCCCACGCTTTTTTGCCCTCCTCTATTATAAAAGAAAGGTTCCAACCTCCTAAAATACCGATGAGAATTATATCTATCTGGCAGTCCCAACGTGGCTGCGTTGCTTCCTTTTCAGAGGCAACAATATTAATGTATGAAAACTTTATTATTTTTTACATGTTATTGCACATGCAGGCACTATATAATTTAAAAATAGAATATAAATTGAAAAAAAATTTTCGACTCGGGCAAGACTTGAACCGATATCGTCAGCGTTTTCGATTTTTAAAATAATATTAATGTATTTTATTAAGATATAAATAAAACTTTTATAAACTTGTTCTTAATATTGTTTATTTAGATTAAACTATATTTGTAAATGTTCTTTTAGTGTTCTGGATAAACGTATTTCTATTCTATTCTATTGAAGCGTAATGAGGTTATTATTAGAAGAATTTAAGTGACTGATGGACACTTCTAGAGACCTAGGTTTATCACACGTAGAACTAATAGAGTTAATATAGAAAATTTCTGGAGTGGAAACCACGTAGCGCTACTGTCAAAAGCTGGACGGTCTCTTTCAACTACTTATCTGGTCAGGGTAGGTGGAAAACGTTGGATTTTAACAAATAACTTTGAAAGGTTGAAAGTATTAAAAA